CCAGTTTCTTTAAAACAAACAAAATAACCTGTCCTCTCCATCTGGCCCCTCTCCCTGCTCCTTTCTAGCCTGGTCTGCTTCCCTATTCCTCGCAATATGGAACATGACAGGGTATTTTCAATGCTATTTTTGTCCGTTGTGTCATAGCTTATATTTAAAATAGCATTTAAATCTGCCAAGTAGTGCGGTGTTTTAAACTGCTGTCAGACTGAATTTCTCCTCCTACATACCACAGATTTCAGCTACGACTTAAAGACAGCTGAGGAAAGCTTTTGAGGAAGGGGGGAGGTGGAGGTGGTTGGGGACCAGATTGTCTGCAGGTGTGAGGACAGTCAAAGGATATTAATAGGGTAAAAGGATGCTGGAGAGGGGACACAGACCCGAAGAAAACCAGGGAAGGTGCACGGAGATGAAACTGCCTTCCCAAAGGGAGCTCTTGCTTTGGACAAATGGCTGTGATGGTGGGACCAGGAGGCTGCAGCCAGCAGCTGTGGAAATGGGGAGTCTCTGGTCTAAGGGTGAAATGAGAGACCCCCATAAAGGGATATTTGCTCTGCATTCTGCATTCTGGGGTTCACCTTTCAGGTCCCCAAAAATAAGGTCAATTCAGCCTTTAGTAAGGACAGCCCTAAGACAGGGGAGGAGCTGTGCTGCCTTGCTTATATTGGGGTTTATTCTCCCTTTCTTCATCATTTAATTTTTGTGACATGGCTGACATCTGAGAAGCCCTGAGATGAAGTAGTATGATCATTGTCCATGGTCATGGGAAAGGCTCATTCCCCCTCTTTATGTTTTTGGGGATCTAAGTCAGCTGGCCCCTTCCTTCCCCACCATGAATAAACATTGCAGCCATCCCCAGTAGAGCTGGCTTGGTTGCAATCAAGCTAGAAACACCAGCCTAACCTTTCCCAGGCAAATCCTGAGCCAGTTCAAACTTTCACAACTCCTCTGAAATCATTTCCACCAAAAGTGATGCTCCAGATATGGATCTTCTCTCCTATCTGAGCCCAAACCACCTTTGTTTCATATGTTCAGTCTTCAACCCCTTACTTTAGGTGCTGTTGTGTTCCCTTGATTCCCTGTTGTCCCTTTTGCATTTCCCCTTCTATCCATCAGCACATCCCAGCTGTGTGAGGGGTCCTGAGTGGCACCTCCCCTCCTCACTGCTCTGCTCCAGGAGCATCCTGCCTTGCATGTCCGTGTCACAAGGAGATGCACCACGTCACTGCTCCCAGTCGCTGGCACATGAACAGCACAGGGATGCCCAGGCTGTGGTCCCTGTCACTTCGGCTGCCCCCGCTTTCCTTCCTTCCCTTTCTGGCTGCTCATGTCTCTGCTGGGCTCGGCTCGACAGCCTGCACAGGAATTTTGGGTACCACAGGGAAGGTCAAAGGAGCTGGGAGCATCCTCTCACCAAGCCCAGCAGGCACCTGCAGCCCCACCCTTCTGCAGAGGGGTTTGGTGTCTCTTCTTCCCAGTACCATTTTTGACTGCAGTGGAGGTCTGGCACAGCCCCACCAGAGCAGCTGATGTTCAGGAGGGGTTTCCTCCTGCACCCTTCTCCCTCGTAAGAGCTCCACAGACAAAGGATGCAGTCTCCCCCAGCCCCCCACTCAGCCCTGCACCTTCCCCTGTGCTGATGGGACCCATGCCAGGTCCTGATGGCTGCTCGATGCTCCCAGATGTCTGGAGGGATGGGTATTCCATGAGGTGCCCGCAGCCTGCAGGTGACCCTACTTTCCAAAAAACGTTTGGGTTTCTCTCCTGCAGCTGTCCAAGGCTCATTTCTTGCTCCATCTCTGTTGGTGTCTCACCCTCTCCTGGGACACGTGTGCCTGCCATTGAAATCTCCTACCCATCTTCTTCTGTCAACACCACCTAAGAAAGGGACAGATTGAAAATTTAGCAATGTGTCCTCTATGTCAATAACTCCCCCTCATCATCTCCTGGGTGGCACAGAGATCTGCTCACCCATCTTCTCCCTGCTCCGTACACAGGCTTTCTCTCCACCCTCTCCCCCTTCACCATTTCCCCTTCTGCCTGGAGTTTTCCACTGCTCACCCTTATTCCCAGAGGGAGAGGTGACCCTTCCTAAAACTCCTTGTCGTGTCCTGCAGTGCCACAACCTGTGACACATCCCTGTGTCCGCCCCAAAACCACCTCTGTCCCCAGTGTGCCAGGATGGCAGAGGCATCTTTGTTACACCCCTCGGCTTTCTGGGCTGAGCCGGGACTGGCATCGGGATCTCTTCTTTGGGATCACCTCCTGCCTCCAGTTCAGCCCCATTCTCTAGCTCAGTTCGGAAGAGGATGAGGCACCGTGAGTGGGGGTGCCTGGTTGGGTTAGGTTATTTATTCCCCCAAAAGGCAAGGCTAGGGCAGGGGTACGGCTGGCTCCACGATTACATCGCGGCGCGTTAATCAGCCGCATTAAAATTCCGAGACAGCTCCTGCCAAAGTGGCTGCGCGCCGTGCAAGGTGGCTGGGAAACGCCGGGAGCCGTGACAGGCAGGCGAAGGCAGACAAAGAGCTCGCTCCGTCACTCCGGGTCTGCTCCGGGAGGAGAAAAGCAGCACGCACACACAGCCCGCTCCGCATCACCACCCAGCCCACGCCGCCCGGACACACGGACGCTCCCCGAAAGCCCAAAGCGAGCGAGCGTGCGATGGCCAGCGAGCCTGCCGGGATTCCAGCACCATCCCAGGGGATGTCTGGGCTGGATGAGCATCCCGGCTGACCCCATGGAGATGGGTGGTACCCGCCACGGGGGACTGGGATGTGGCGGCGGAGGGGACCAGCGGCTGCTCAGCCCCCGGCATCCCATCCCTGCGTGCGTGGGGAGCGAGTGTCCCCGTGGAGTGTGAGCCCCCAGGGTGAGGCCCCCCGGCCGTGTCCCCCTCCGGAGCCCCTGCCAGCTGTAGTAATGCGTTTTGCCACAGGGTGCCACTATGGCAAAGCTGTAAGGCCGCCGAGCCCTCAGCCCCGTTGTGTAAGGATACCTGGCGTTACTCACGTTACTCGTGCTTTCCTTCTTCCCCTCCGTTCCCATCTCCCCTCATCTACACCGCAAGGAAACTGCGGCAAGAGCCCCCCAAACATTCCTCCGAAGGGGCCAGTGCTGCCGGGAGACCCTTACACCACAGGGCAGAGGAGGGGATGCTGCGACCTGCTCTGAGGTGTCCTGAGAGTGACACACTGGAGACTGACACGCTGTGATGGCATTGCTCTGTCTCCACCAGACCTGGCAGGGAGGAGAGGTTTTGGAGGCTTTGTGGGACCTTGTGCCACAGTGGGACCTTGTGACAGTGAGTGAGGGGGACACTGTGTGACACAGATGTCCAGGAACAATACTCCAACCATGCTCCTCTCCTGCATTTGGGGTGTTGGGCTCTGAGGATGCAGCTCCCCAACAAAGGGGTCTGGCTCCATTGCTAGGGAGCAGGCAAAGGGCCTGGCAAGGCTACAGCTACTTGTCTCCTCCAGCTTTTCTCCAAGAATGGATCTGGCCAGCCCTGTCCTCCTGCAACTGGGCCTGTGAACTGCCTGAGAGAATGGGGATGCTGCAGCTGGGCCATCCCATCCCATCCCATCCCATCCCATCCCATCCCATCCCATCCCATCCCATCCCATCCCGACATGCTGTAGGAATGAGCAGGCTGGATCCCACACCCTGAGTTTCTCTTCCCCTGGCACACTCCAGTCCCTTGCCTGCCTCTCCCCAAAGAAGAGGATTTGCCATGGGGCAGCTCAGATCTGCACCCACAGCAGCACCCTAACAAACCCACTTTGCAGCCATGCGAGGGGAATGGCATGGCTCACCTAGGAAATGGAGCAGAGGAGAGCTATGCAGGATCAGGCCATGAACCTGAGATTTTTTAGGGTGAATAGTGCTCTGCAAATTGCAGGCAGTGGGATCCTGCGTGCTGCATCCGCCGCGGGCGGAGAGAGAAAGAAGATTCTCTTCTTCCCTTGCTAATAAAGTCTGGCTGAAATGACACAGTATAATCAGTGTTTACCTGGGAGTTTACATATGGTTTGTTGTAATTATAGTTTCAATTCCTGCTTTTGCTTTTTTTTTATTTTTTTTTTCCTAACATCTATTTTTCAATCAGTAAAAGTAAATACTATTTTCAGCCCAATGTAATTCTTCCACTCCCGTGGCCACAAACACAGCGAGGAGAGCGATTCCATTTGCGCGCTGTGCAATTGAGCAGAGAGAGGAGCCCGGCGGCTGCGGAGCATCAGCGAAGCCACGGCCGAGCGGGGACCTGGGGACATGGGGACGAGCCTCCCCTCCCCACCACGAGTCCCCCAGGACCTCCACCCCACCTGGCAGGGCTACCTTTGCCGGTAAAAATCAGCACCAGGCCCAGACGTTGCTTCTCATCACGTCGGCATCATTAAAACCCCAAAGCTGCCTGGTCGGAGGCAGTGGGGAAGGGATAAGAGCCATTAGGTGAAGCATCATTTATTTCAGGGCTGGCAAAGCTTTGTTCCAGCTTGGGAATTGAGTTGGCACTAAAAGCACTACGATCCCCAAGATTTAATTCCTGCCCCAAACCCCCCCATTTTTATGTGTGTGATTTATAACAAATCAAGGATGCCGGTGTCAGGTCCCCTTCTTCACCCAACTATTGTCACACACACACACGCTGATTAAAACCACCCGGCCCCCGCCGGTTCCTCCTTGTCCATCCATCAGCTGCTCCGGGGACAAACTTAGACATCCCACTCCTAGCCCACACCTCCATCCGTGCGTGCTCTCACACCCTGGCTTTAAACCAGTAGAGGATATTAATTTGGTGTGCACGTACCCACCTTCAAATACATATAAAATAGGTGTATTTATTTATGCCATGCACCTAAATCCCTGTAAAACAATTGGCAGCTTTGTCTCAAGGAGGGATTGGGCGTTATTGGGATGCAGAACAAACACGTTGCCCTAGAGACACACGGAGTGTTTCTGCCTCGGCCACTCCAGTTGAATATTTGCCGGATCAGGCGCGGTTTGAACTCGGTGCCAAGGCAGAGCCGCTGCCGGAGGCCGGTGGGCAGCTGGGAAACGCTGTGGAGAGGGGGATCGAGAAGGGACCCTTCTCCTGCCCAGAGGGTCTCAGCCCTTCAGGGGAATTGAGCAGAGGCCAGAAACCCTGCCTGTACCCCATCCTCATCATCCTCATTTTGGGGTTAAAAAATAGGTGATGAGGATGATTCTCCCAGAGCTCTGTCTTTGGCCTCCACTCTCCCACATGCTGGAATTACTGGGGTTTTTACCACCTTGAGAAAGGGCTTTTTGCACCCTGAATGCACATGTTACCCCTCTGAACATCCCTGGGAGCAAAGGGGAATGTTTCAGCCAGGGTTTGGGGAGGGGACCCTTGCCCCCAAGGCCCCAGCAGGGACGTGGGGCTGGGGCAGTGTAGGAGCAGAGCCACCCCACAGCAGCCGGGGCTCCCCGGGCCTTTGGAGCGCGGCTGCACCAAAAAACGCCCGTCCCAAAGCATGGGCGGCTTTGGCCGATTTTAATTCAAGGGGTGCTGATTTTGGGTTTTCCAAAATAGGAGGAAGGAGGGGAAATATTCACTGGGTCAAGAAAAGCATCCCTTTCCTGACACTGAAAAGAAAATTAAAATCCAAGCAGTTTTTTTTAAAAAATACAGTAAAATAAAATTGTTCTATTTCTCACAAAAAAAAAAAAAAAAGCTCTTCTCACCAATCCCAAATATGAATATATTTTCTTAGTATATTTCTGAAAAGTCTACCACACTCAACCTTTTTCCCCCCAAATTAAGAATGAGCTGGTTTAAACTCTCACCCAAAATATTTATTGCGAGGAACAAAGATATTGGAATCGTCTCCAGTGTTGGATTTCAATTCTCTCTTTCAGGCTTTTATCTTTTCAATCCAAATTTCAGTGACAATTATCCAATTTTGATTGACATTAAAATTATTTATTGTCACATTGTAGCTGTTTAATAAATTGTGCCTGCTTTATTTTTTGGCTTATAAATACTGTATCTTTACTACCTTGGTACTTAATTCAAGGGAAGAAACCACTTCTGAAAGCAGGCAGCAATAGTCTCAGCTCAGGCAAGATATAAAAATGCCTTTTTACGCACGTGAACCTGAGGAAAGAGCTGATTCCACCTTTTTACTAATTTATATATTTTAAGTCTCTCTGGTTTATACAATTTTGCTTTATTTTCCAATGGTAAAATATGCTTCTGTGAGCTATGTGTAAAACGAAGATTAAAATAATCTCCTTTCAGACACAGAAAAATTATTTGTCAGGAACATTTAAAAAATCAGGAAAACAATTCATGACACTTCCATGATCTAGATTTGAGAGATTTTTCACCATTCTGGGAGTGAGTTCATTAAAAAAAAAAAAAAAAAAGGTAAAAAAACAAAGCCAGGCGACATCCATTTCAGAGTGCCATTTAAATCTGGGTCGCGTTGCAAATGATTTTCTTTTTTTTTTTTTTTTTAATTTCCACAAATTACTGAAAGTTAAAAGAACCGTCAGCCCATTTTACTATTTAAAAAAAAAAAAGGGGGGGGGAGAAAGAGAGAGAGAAAATTAAAAAATAACACAGAAAAATGTAGCCCTTTTAGAATAAACCTAAAGCAGCTCCTTTGCAGAAATATTTCCCTGAGTGAAAAATCTCAAGCCTGTGTCCCACATATTTTTTTTTTAGCAGGAGGGTCCTGCCTTTTTGAGCTGGATGCCAGGGGGGTACCGAGGGGAGCTGGAGGACGTCGGTGCCCCAGGGGTGTTCTAGGTAAACATCTCATTCTCCTGCCTGCAGCGGGCAGGGGAGGCTCTTTGCCCACTGACTGAACGCCCTGGAAACCTTTCTGGGGGGAGCCTGCTGGCAGATAAAGGAGGTGTCTGCCAGGGGAGAGAGGGTTTGTTCCCTGTGCCTGTGGCTGTGCGAGTCAGGGTGGAGGGGCCAGCAGCCCAGTTGGGCTCCTGGGAGCAAGGGAGGGATGCAGGGCAAGGCAGGGAGTGAGGATGCTCTGCAGGATTCAGTCCTGAGGGTCTCCTGTGCCCACTTCCCAATGCACAGACCCAGTTCCACCCACCAAAACTACCCCAAAGCCCAAATCTGCACCTTAAATCTACACGGGTTTGGTTCCATTCCATTACTGACGCTGCTGTTTCAGGGCAGTGTTAGGGTCCCGTGGAGAGCCCCCAGGGAAAGACGAGGCCTTTCTTGCAGGGACACGGGGTGGCCTTGGGGACACAGACTCTTGCCCAGTGCCAGAAGGACAGTGGGGCTGCCCTGGGTCTCCCTGCTGATCTTCTGTGCTGCCTCTCGCAGTGCCAGGCGGCCGCAATGGCTCTGGCAGCCACATTTGTTTACGGGCTGAATGTGTATTAAAATGGTTCATTATTTTCCTGACTGGCAGGTTTCCAGGGTCTGTGCTAGTTAATAATTGCTGCCAATTAAACCTTCGCAAAATATGCATTGCAGGGACGGGGATGGGGGGGAAACAACACGCGAGGATTTCTCCCGAGCCCACGGATGGCTCGTGCTGCTGCTGAGGAGCCCCGTGGTGGCTTGGGGACATGGTGGTGTACCGCTTCTCGCCATGGGAACCTTCCAGAGATGGGGCAGCTGAGCCCCCTGAGATGGGGATCCTTACAGGGCTGTCAGTGAAAAGGGATTTGTCTCTTTATGGGGCAAAATTTGCAGCTGGTGGAGGGAACTGAGTAGGATCCACCCCAGTGGCCCCCTTGACCTCACAGGAGCCAGCCTGCCCTTCCCAAGCCCTGACCTGCCCACTCACCCCGTGGATGGGTGTTCCCAAGGTGGGGAGCCAGGGCTCAGGACATTGCCCCAGCCCTGGGCATCCCAGCTTCAAGAAGGTTTCTTTTCAAAGGACAGCTCCTTCTTTTCCTGCCTTTCCACTCGTTCCCTTCTGCTGTTGGAACACCCTCTGTCTCTGCAGGCCAGCAGAGCATCGCCTTTGAATTCCACCCCGATCCCACTCCGAACCCAGCTCCAGGCACAGCCTGGAGATAAAGCTTTTCTCAGGGGTGAAGCACAAGCAAACCCCCATGGTCCAAAACCCACCTGGAGCTGGGTCTGCCTAGCTCCTTCCACCTGTGGTCTCGAGTGTCTTTTACAAGCCATAAAGACGTGAGCACATTTCCTGACCACCGCTTGAAAAGCAGCCAAAAGAACAGGAATAAAGAATCATTATTTAGTGAACGCTCGCCCCACTCTTTGAAGCTGGGAAGCTCGGCAGAAAGGCTGGGTGTTCAGGCGGGCTGTGGCTATGGGAAGGCTGGGGGGAATGTTTCTCAGATGCTAAAATCGCTCGGAGAGATGCAGGAGCGGGACTGCGTTCGTGGGAAGGACGGCTGACGGGGAACCGCTGCCTTTCAGAAAGGCAAATAATCGCAGCCTAGGTTAGCTCTTCTGTCGAGAGAATAATTGTGCTTCTAAAGGCTCTGATATGATGAGAAGCACTGCTTTGAAATCGAAATAAATACATAAATAAATCAGGGATCTTGGACTGATTAAGGCAATTGCTTCCCTTGCTTTTGCAACCCCTTTGGGTCCTGGTTCCCAGAGCCAATTACATATTTAAAAAGTTTCTCTCTGGAAAAAAAAAAGAGGACTTGCAACTCTAAAATAAAGTTTCTTTGTGGTTGCCTAATGAACAGCAAGGGCCAGGACAGTTTACAGTTATTAATTGGTTTTAAATGGCTCCAACTCTGTCCTGAACCATCTTTTTGAGCTGGCTACAATATGTCTGTGCCCTCCTGACAGCCCCACATGGGGTCAGGGCATGCCGGGCACTGCTGGTCCGGGTCCCTTTGTGTGGGTGAGCAGCCAGCCCGCCTCCCCCATGGCCTCTCCTCCTCCTCCACCCCATGGTCAGTCCTACAAAAGCCCCCCAGGATCTGCCGAGCTCCCACTGCCTCAAACAGGGTGCAGCCGACGTGGAGATGAGCCAGGAAGATGCTGAGGGTGCTCATCCATTACTTTTCCAAATGAATTCACAGTTTCTCCGGCTCCCTGCTCCCTCCTGTGTGACTATGAGGGAGATTTGCTTTGCCACCCACCCCCCACTTTATTCCCCACCTTGGCACACTGCAAACCCCTCCTGGCCACCCAAACCTCAGCTTATTTCTAGGCTCCACATGGCCACGACATGTGGGAGCTCGGCAGCCGGCACGAGCCCAGGGATTGCCTAAGCTTCTCTTGGCACACCACACCTCACACCACTGAGCACCTCCAGGCACCGAGCAGGCAGAGAAAAGGCTCTATTCTTCACCCAAAAAACTCCCAGGGGGGTGAATTCAGCAAACATCCTTGCCATGAGGATAGGTGAAATAAATCTTTCTCACAGCCCAGGGAAGTGCAGAAACATCACCCCTAAAGGGAGGCAGGGCTCGAGCCATGGGCCTCCTTGAATGTCTACTCCCTGTAAACATGCATTATTGATAGCAGAAATTATGTTGGATTGGTTTTGGGATGTAAGGAAACGCTGGAGAATATTGATATTTTCCCGAGTTGCTTCCAAACCTATTCTTGGGCTTGAACGTTTTGCGTGTGTCATCTCCAATGAACAGTTTTGAGCTTTAATTCAAAAAATAGCATGATGTTTATAATACTATATAAGGTTTTCTCCTGGCTGTACGCACGGGATTATATATGTGTCGGTGTGTGGGTGCGGATGTGTGTGCAGGGATGTAATGAGACAAACAACTCAATCTGGAGCCGGTGGGGAGGAGGAGCTGCACACGCAGCCCCGAGCAGTGGCTGGTTCCCTTTGGTACCAACTCGGTTTTCTTTTCCACCAGCCGTCAGAGTTGTCTGAACAAACACGTTATCATCGGGACCGACCCGTAGATAAACAGGCGGTGATGTTGTAGGTGCAGGAATACACCTGGGGGTGCGTGGGGAGGTTTATTCTCCAGCTGTTGAATGCTGGAGATGGGCTGGTGCATGACAAGATGCCAGACGCTTTTCAGAGCATCAAATCCGCATCTCAGCACTTTTCACGGCGCGGAGAGGAAACAGTAATTAAGCGACAGGACTTACACCACTTCCGCGCCGGAGTCTCGCTGCATCCCTTTCAGCCCTGTGCACGTGTGTGACGGCAGGACCCACTGTTCCAGGTGCAGCCTCACCCCTTCTTAAACACAGTCCTGATGGGTTTTTCTCATAGCAGATAAATTATTC